TATATATATATATTATATATAAATATATATATATATATATATATATATATATATATATAATAATATATATGTATGAAATAATGAGCGCTGCAGCCTTGGCCAGCTCACCTCTCCCCATAAGCGCAAGTATAGACATGGTGACCCCACACCGAATGTGACTAGTAGCGAGTCACATGTCATACACTTGCAGCTCACGGGGCCTCCATTATTCTCTCTCTCTCTCTCTCTCCTCTCTATATATATATATATATATATAATAAATATATAATATATACACACACGACACACACACACACACACACACAAAAGTATGCACTTCGGGCAAACCCACGACCTCCATTTTCTTATTTCTGCTACAGTAATTCTATATTTAAATACAGTTTTTGTAAGTGCTACAATGATATTTTAAAAAGTGCTACAATATCTCACCTGAGTAATAATGCTACAGTAATGTTTTTAAACGTTACAGTTCTCGCCTGTGCTACAGTAATAATACTATAATATTTATTGTAATATGAATATCGAATCTTGGATCCTCCCGTCTATGCTACAGCACCAAATGCTATAGTAATTTACTGTATCATTTACTGTAGCATCTATAATGAATCTTGGATCCTCTCATTATTATAGAGGAATATATATATATATTAGATGTTTTGTCTTTATTTATGTAATAACTATTGCTGTCACCATTTTACTTTGACTATGGGGAAATTTTAGCTTCTTAGAGCATCTCCAACCATAAAACTCGAAATGGTGTAGTTTTTACACTAAGTTGGTGTAGTTTTTATACCAAATCACTATTCCATCTCTAACACATTACATCAAATGTTACACCAAAAAGAATATTCATTTTATTATTCTTATCTTTTAACATTTTTTGAAATTTAAAATATTTAACAAATTATATAATTATATAATACATATAATTAATTATAATAATATATTTTATGAATAAACTATCCATTTTCGTTCTAATATTATGAAATTTTAAGTGTTTGGATTAAACTATCTAATTTTTCCATTGTTGAATTTTATTTTAATAATTATTTTATAATCTAATTTTATTATAATAGTTCATATCAAAATAACTAAAAAAATAAAAGCTACAATGTAATATTTTGATCATGAATAAAAAGAGAAACATTAAAAACCATCAACAAAATAATGAACTCTATGTTAAAAAAAAAAGGTTAAAATTAGCATAAAAAAAGGCTACTGTACCAAAGCTACAGTGCTGGGCCAAATCTGGCGCAGCACTGTAGCTCTCTCCCAAAATGACGCTGAGAATAGAGTTCGGTTGGAGGATGATTTGAAGCATCTTTTGCGTCATCTTGACAGTTTAGTTACCGGTTGGAGATGCTCTTAACAAAAAAATCAATGTTGATAGTGTAACTAGCTTCCATGCGGTATGTGATTTTTTAAAATACAATTTTTAAAGTTTGTAGTATTTCAATAGAAAAGTAGTTTGAGATAGTATCGTGTAAAGCCTGCGATATAGAGTAGATAGTTCTTGACATTATTAATGCTAATACAAAAGTTTGAGGTCATGATCAAACACATCATCCTACAAGACAAGACAAAGTAAATTCAAATTATAAATGAAGACAAACTATTTTATCATCATGAAAGGTGCCTATTTAGATCCATAGATTTGAACCTTGTACTTGTTGGATAAAATATCACACAAAATTATAGCATGCTGATAAATTCGAATAAAATAAAACAATAAAATATGATCTGAAAAGGAGCAGTCGTGTAATCACTGCCCTAGAAGATTAATGACCCGTCTATCGTCCTGACTAAGATGATCCTCTCTCCCCTAACGATAAAAACCCCCGGAACCGGCCGACCTCTGTACTCGGGCGAGAGAACAGAGCTTCTGTGCAGATGAAGAAAGTTGCCCAAAAGTAAAACCAAAATATAGAAAAAATAATATACAGAGGAGAGAAGAGAAACAAGAGAATTGTTCTATATTTACGAATAAGAGAAAGACTGTATATATAGGCTTTTAGATAGCCGTTACAAACCCCTCAATAAATTCGGTAACGTTAGTCATAAATTTTTATAACGTTCCCCATAATGTATAGCCGTTACACACGTTTTAATTGTATTCATAACACTATTCCGACTATTCATGAAGGTAAAATTATCTTTTCTCCAACAAAATATCCAACAGTACTCACGTGATCTATTCAAGTTAATGCGACACAACTCATGTGTTTTTATTTAGAAAATGATCTTTGCAACATGAAAAGAGAACCAAATGTAATCCGCCTTAACAATTTATAACTGTTGGATTGATCCAATACCAGACTAGTATTTACGAAAGGGTCTTTTTTTTGTCATAGGCCCTCAACATTTTATCTGTTCTAATCGGGGTCCTATTTAAAAACAACATAAGGGGTCTGGGTTGCAATTGAGGAATGTAAAGATTTGAGGTTTTAGTACAGGATCATCAAAGAGTTGAGGGTCTAACATTTTTTTTAAAAAAAAAAAACCCAAATTGCAAATCAAGACATTTGATCTAATTGTTCATCTATGGTCACTTCCACCGAATTAGATCTAGATCGGGTATCTCTTCCAGAGATTCGTGCCGGGTAATGAGACTGTGGGCCCTTCAAATGCAAAGACAAAGCCCCTTTTATTGTGTTCTACGGTGTTATATCCATCCACCCAACCTGTCGTGGGCCACATGCGGGGGCCCAATCATCAGTAATTCCTCTTTTCCCTTAAACGTGTTATTTGTCCATATGCGCCCCCACCATCAGATCTTACATATTTGCACATTTACTCTTCTCATCTTAATATTTGCAAATATACGCTTTCGGACCTCATGAAGGAAGTTAGCCCGCACCTCTGAAATCTTTCAATCGTCACCGTGCCTCTCGAATATACTCTGTTTTACTAAAAAAAATGCCATCTCATAATAACGCATTAAAGTTAACATGGATCATGGGTGTTAACTGCAATTTACAAAGTTAAGAGGGGCGTCACAAAAAGCCCCAGAAAGTTCGGGGGGGTTTTGTGGAATTTGGACGATGATAAACATCAGCTGTCCGTTGTTATACATTCCAGGCCCACTCTCTCAAGGTGGTCAAGAATCAGAGAACCGAACTTCGTTCACACCAAAAAATGTCCGCCCGCCGCCGCCGCCGCGCCCCGGCCCGCCGAGCTGGTAGAAAATCCGGCACTCGGCCGCCCGGGCGCTTGCGCTAGGCGGCGGCGCGCGGTCTGACGGCCAACGATCGGGCGCCGGCAACCCGTACAACTTCGCCTCTGCTACTCTCACACTCTCAAGGGCGCGGCACCTGCTTGGAATACAGCCAACGCGCAGTGACGCATGCCCGGCGTCGGCAACGACATCGGAAGAACTTTTGCGAGCTCATCCCTGTGTCTTTGTGCAACAGAGTTCCCGCCTTGCGTCGATCTATGCGTTCTTGTGCCGCGCCTGCTGCGTTTCTTGGGCTACGGAGGTGATTTGGCTTGCGGCTTACTGGGCATTACTCTGCGTTAGTTGGGGTGGTGAGTTCTTCTTCCTCTCTCTCTCTCTCTCTCTCTCTCTCTCTCTTTTTATTTTTCTTGGGTGGTTTTTTTTTAAAGAATCTTGGGTCGAAAGTTGTTTGCTCTTTTCTGGGTTTTATTATTATTATTATTATTATTTATTGCTAATGGAGATTTGGTGAGATTGCGGAAAATCCAGGTGGGTGGTAACTCTTTTTAATTTGAGTTTTGATTTCTTTTGAAAAGCTTGGAGGCTTTGATTGGGTTTCGTTGGGCATTCTTGGTGGAAAAGTTGCTTTCTTTTTTTTAATGGGCTTTTAGAAATTTCAAAGTTTAATTTAACAAACTAGAGGATTTGTACTGTGGTTGTTGATGAAGACTAGATGTTAGAAATTTGATGGGATCTGGGTGGATTGAAGTAAAGCCAAGCTGTGTATTGTCAAGTTTCAGCAGTAGATTTGATAGAACTGTGGGCAGATTGCAGAAAACCCAGCTGTGTATGATCAAGTTTTAGCAGTGAAATTCATAAATTTTGGATAGATTGCAGAAAACCCAGTTGCGTATTATCAAGCTTTAGCGGTGAAATTCATACATTTTTTATAGATTGCAGAAAACCCAGTTATGTACTAATAATTTTTTGGTAGAAAATCAACAGTCCATTGAAATTGTTGGTTGTTGTATTTAATTCAGTAGGAAAACCATTGTACTAATTTAGCTGCTAGAGAGTTGCGAAGGGTACTTTTCTTTGCCAAGTTTTGGATAATGCACTTGCTTTCAGACATAATGTCAAATGTTAAGGAAGTGCATGGAGATCTTCTGTTGATTTACCTTTACCACATCGGAAGAAATACAAAACAAACTAAAATTGCTGTCTTAGTCCTTGGTTTTTCTAAACTCTGTAGTGACAATTTCTTTAAAGTTGACCGATCGACTTTGGGACTATTTTCTCATTTGCCTTGTTCATTCTTCAGAGATTCAAATTATATCGGTTTCCTGCTTCCAGACCCTTAATGAGGAGAATTCCTGATGGTTGTTATTATAGTTATTTGCACGAGTTTAAACTATATTACCTTCATGCTAGTATATCCTTCCATCCAGCATGCTAATGTAGTTTTTATGGCAATCCTCTATATTGTTCATACTTCCCTCAATTATGACGTAGCGCTAACTTAGATTGTTGATTCCATATTGTAGAATGCTTGGTAATTTTCCACGGATCCTTCTCGATATGAAATTGTATCCCATAGTCAATCCCATTTTGATGCCACGAAGATGATGCACGTGTATGAATGGGTTATTGTGGAATGTATATAGTGATATACTGTGATTTTCCTACATGTTATGTTTTAGAAAACTTTTTATGTGTCATCCTGCTTCATCTGTAATAAACTCTGTAATTGAAATTGTTTATCCAATGATCCTAATTTATATTCAATATCCTTTCCTTCTATGCTTTATTATTCATTGAATAATTTCAAGTTTTATTGACATGGCAGTTGTGGGTTGCACTATGCATTGCTAATAATAGCAGTGCATGGTTAGGCACAGGCGTCCTAGTTACCAACATGAGGAACTTCCCTATTAGCCGAGGTACGGTTGCTGGCATCCTAAAGGGTTACATCGGACTTAGTGCTGCAGTCTATACGGAAATTTATACCGGAGTTCTCCACAATTCATCCGCAAAGCTCTTACTCTTTCTCACTCTCGGTCTACCAACTATTTGTTTGATGATGATGTTTTTTGTTAGACCATGCACTCCAGCTTCAGAAGAAGACTCATCAGAGCGAGGCCATTTTCTCTTCACTCAAATTCTAAGTGTCACTTTAGGTGTCTATCTCCTTCTGACTACCATATTGAATGATACTCTCTCTCTGAATGATTCAATTTCTTATGCATTTTTTGGTGTTATGATTCTATTTCTACTTGCTCCCCTGGGAATCCCGATAAAGATGACATTGTATCCTACAAAACCAAAAAGGATTGAACCTTCAAGTTCACATGAAGAATTGTCACAATTGGATCAAGGCAAGACAGAACCGTTGCTTGGAAGCCTTCAGGAGACTCTAGATGAAAATGATGTTGATATACTTTTAGCTGAAGGGGAGGGAGCAGTAATACCGGGGAAAAAGAAGAGAAAACCAAAGAGGGGAGAGGATTTTAACTTCAAGCAAGCCGTAGTTAAGGCTGATTTCTGGTTGTTATTCATGGTTTACTTCCTTGGGGTGGGCTCAGGTGTTACTGTACTCAACAACCTCGCACAAGTTGGAATTGCAGTAGGAGAAGATGACACAACTTTGCTTTTGTGTCTCCTCAGCTTTTGTAATTTTGCCGGGCGTCTTGGTGGAGGTGTTGTTTCAGAGTATTTTGTCAGGTAAAATCATTTTTCATTGGGTAAATTTTATGAAACTTCCCTGAACTTTATAAATCATAGAACACCCTTCTCAACTTTCAAAATCATACATAACTTCCTGGATTGCTGGAAATTCTCACAAACAATGTCGATACTTTCATTTTGTACTTTTTAATTACGCTTGCCCAAAAATGATAACAGGTAAGTTATATGGGTTTTTTGTATTTATACCCCTTAAACCTTCCATATTTGCCAACCTATCCTCAAATCTCAGTATTTGCAAAACTACCCCTAAATCATCAACTTTGAAAAAATATATATATATATAGAGAGAGAGAGAGAGAGAGAGAGAGAGAGAGAGATGAATATACTTGGTACCAAGCACAAATTTTGCTTGGTAGTGAGATGTCCTATTCCCATCTACTCATTCTAATTGCCAACCACTCCCCAACCCATGTGAATGTGGGCCCCGATTTCAATATATATATATAAAGCATCAACTCTGATAGGTTTATTTGTAACTGCAATGTAAAATATCAATAAAATCATCAATTTTTTACTCATATCGAACAAAGTTGATGATTTGCTGATTTGGAGTAACTTTTTTCAAAATTGATGATTCAGGGTAGTTTTGCAATACAATTATTTTAGGGGTAGTTTTGTAAATACCCATGATTTAAGCCTTTTAAGGTGTACACGTACAAAAGACCCAAATTATATTTAGCAGATAGGTTTAAGATTGTCACATGCTGCATTGGTGTCATTGTGACAAATTAGAGTAGTAATCATCACAGTGATGAAAGTTCAGGAGGGTGTTCTATGATTTGTAACATTGCCAGGGGGTTGTGAAATCTATCCATTTTCATTCAGTTCTAAACTTCTAACTTAAAAATCGATGCATCTTTAATATCCGATGGATACCAATACGCAGGTTGAGGATGCTTCCACGTACCATTTGGATGATCTTTGCACAATTAATTATGATATTCGTTTATCTTCTCTATGCTTCAGCATTAGATGGTACACTCTATGCCTCAACTGCACTACTTGGTATCTGCTATGGTGTTCAATACTCGGTTATGGTTCCAACTGCATCAGAGTTATTTGGACTAAAGCATTTTGGGAAGATATATAACTTTATGATTTTAGGAAATCCCATTGGGGCACTTTTGTTCTCGGGTCTTCTTGCAGGATATGTTTATGATAAGGAAGCAGCAAAACAACATTCAGGGAGCTTTTGCTATGGGCCTGAATGCTTTAGGCTCACATTCCTAGTTCTATCCGGGGTCAATGTTATTGGATGTGCATTGGGCATAATTTTGACTGTTAGAATAAGGCCAGTGTATCAAATGCTTTATTCAAGTGGTTCTTTTAAGCTCCTGCGGACTTCATTACATTGAGAGTAAAATTATCGGCAAGGGACATATATATCAGATTGCATTAGAGATTTGTTGTATTACATAGTGTTGTATGTGTCATTGATATTCACATATATGAGGAATCCTGCATACTCTATCGTGGAGATCTGGATCTAGTCAGTTGAACAACTCCTGAAAAAGAGGGAAAACATTTGATCAAGCCATCAAAATTTTTGGAAATCTTGAAAGTTGAGGAGTTCTTTTATCGTCAGTTTTTACGTTTTGAGAATGTCAATTTAATGAGGGATATTTGTCAAGGATGTGGAAGTTACGTCAATTTAATAAGGGGTATTTGTCAAGGATGTGGAAGTTGTGAATTCATATGTTGTTGTAGCAGATTTTATTATCATATATCTTTAGTTTCTTGTTTCTATATTTGCCATGCAAGTCTTATTTCATTCAGTTGTATTAGACTAGTTGACGTGTAACAGACGAGGTTTGCATAGTTTTTTCTGTAAGAGTGTAATGTTAATTGTATAATCACCTTTGCATAGTTTTTTCTGTAAGAGTGCAAAGTTCATTATATCATCAACTTCTAATGATTAAGTATGCACGATGAAATTATATGCTGATGCTTGTCGGGAAATAAAAGGGCCAAGATTGTTAAGAAGATGAACTTCCATTGAAAGTATCAGATGATCGATGTTTTTTCATTGTTTTTCCTTCATTATATGTATCTTATAGACAGTCATCAAGTTGTTATGTAATTCATTGATTCTTGGCATCTTTTTTGCTTGATTGCAAGAGCATTTCGGTGTACTTAACGTCTTCTTTTAGCTCCCAAACATAAGTGCAGAAATCTTGCTATATACATTGTCTTTTTTTTTATGTCAGAACTCTTTGATGGGATTCAATATCGTAATTCTATTCAAATTGACAATTAACATGTTTCTGTTTAAAGAATGTTAATTATTAAGCGGCAAATGAGAAATAAAGTATTTCAATCTTATCAAGTAGGTAATGCGCAAGGTACGTAACAGCCATCATATTGAAGTAATTTGGAGAATTAATACATAAAATATAACGCATTCTAAGAGGTTGCTTGGCGTGCCATGATGAATTACAAAAACAACTACAATTATAATTTGCAAAGGGCAGTTGTATACAATTGAGTTGTAAGAAACATTAAGTTTATACCTAACCTCGTAACCGGATCCAACCAATAATACAAAAAAAAAATAAAATAAAAAAAATCAACCTAGTCATTCCTGCGATCTGCTAACTTTCTTCTTGTATTGATAGATTCAGAAACCACACGAATGGTTTCGTCGTAAAAATGCACAATCAAATAGTACAAAGAACATCACCTTACCAAGAAAACAGAAGCTACTCAGATTTGTTCTTCAGGCTAATGATGTTTCCAGCAACTCCTATAATGCTAACGACCACTGCCAACACCAACATGAACCATGACAATCTCCTCTCCCCATCGCTCAGACTTTTCCCTTGCTTATCCAATCTCAATGCGATGAGAGCAGGAAATATAAATCCCAAAGACAGACCAGTCGTCGCTCCTGTAAACTTGAAAGCTGTCCAAATGTTCGGTATCACGGTAGAAGTAAGATAAATAACCGCCAACAAAACTACAGTCAACGGCAATGCCTTCTTCTTATCATCCAATACCGATTTTGTAAATATCAGGGCATCCACAGTCTGCCTCAGCGAAAAATGAATGACAGGAAAAACAAGAACCAGGTGAAGAACGTATCCAATCCGGACTATATAGTTCAGTATTATGCTGAACTCAGCTCCAAGTTTTCTGTCGAAATTTGTCAACACGTCAGATTCGGTATCATCTCCGAACAACAAATACCCTGAGATCGCGGTTGCAGCATAGATTACAACACATAAAACCGTTGTGATTCTTCCAACCCGATTCATCTTCTGAGGTGATCTTCCATCGAGCTCGTTATATATCGGTTGCACGTTAAAATGGCAAACGTAGGCGTTGGTCATTATAGGAATAACCACTAGCAAGTCTAGAATTGTGGATTTACTCCCCAGATCAGGGCCAAACCTTGGTTTCTCAATAGTTCCTTCCGCAAGCTTGATAGAAGCAACTATGCAAGAGACTACAACAAAAACAACGGCAAGAGCGACAGAGGCAGCTGAACTCAAGCTTAGAGAATCGATTTTCTCTAAAGCACACAATGGGGCTAAGAAAATTATCAGGACTATAAGAATCACCATTTTTCGATGATCCCATACTCCGTTTCCAAACAACTGGTCAAATACGCCGGTGTGCTTAAGTGATCCAGACATGACATCCCCAATGATGATCAGATAGACGACAAGAACGCCGGCGTTGTTGATGATGATGCAAATTTCCGAAAGTAGCCTCATCGGGCGACCAAGTGCGGATTGCACAACTTCCCCATAGGAAGTTGATTTACAAAGAACAGAAAACCGAACGAGGATCTCAATGCTGATTTCAGATAGAATACCCATTAGGATTATCGAAACGAAGCCGAAGCCAATACCGAGCACTTTCATCGCTGCTGGAAGGGCCATGATTCCGGCACCGATGACAGAAGTAGCGAGGTTGAAGACAGCGCCGGGAACGCCAGAACCTAGGGTTTCAGGCCGGAGATCTCCATCGAAAATGAGGGGGACACCGTCAATTTCATCGGATTCATCAATATTTTGTTCACCGGGGAATTCCTTGGATTGAATCTTTGGATTAGGGATTTCGAGCGAGGCTGCATTGTTCTGGTTTTGGAGTTCAACGGAGGAGTTTACGGGAATAACAGCATAATCGCTGTTCATCTTTTCTTACGATTTAATGGGAACACATCAATGGGTTTCTGTCAAATTGGATCAGGGTTTTCAAACGGGTCGTCGTCAAAATCTGATCTTGGAAGAGGGGTTGCTGAGATTTGGGTGGAAGAGGAACAAAAATGTCAAATAATAGAAATTTACTAAAAACAGTACGTGCCAGAATTTGATCTTTCCGGGGATGATAACAAAGGTTTTTAAATGGGTACGTGCCAAAATTTGATCTTGGAGAAGAACAAAGAAAAAGATGGAGACTTTTGATAAGATCAAGGTACCTGAGATCTTTTTGGATGGGAGATGGGGGGATCCAAGAGAATTTGATCGTTGGAGATTTACTTTTCTGTTGTAAATACGGGCGAAAAGATTGGGATCGAGGAGGAGCTAGATCTCTGGATCCCAAAGCTAATGCAATGCAAAATATGAGGGAGGGATTCAAAGGTGAGGGAGCTCTCTCTCTCTCTCTCTCTCTCTCTCAATCTGTTGGGAGGAGAGAGAAGAATTATACTTGTTGCCGTGTGTCTTGGATCTTAATCGTTTAAATAAGCACTTTTTGAGACTTTGGCCAATGGGGTTTCCTCGTCTTTTCCTTTTTCCTATATTTTTCTACGGAAACCCTCCAAAAATATTTAAACATTTATTGGGTCGGATTAACAAAACGGCCCCCTTAAGTTCGGGGGTGATTATGAGGTAAACTCTCCTTAAATATTTTTAATAGGCACGAAACCTCCTTAATTTTTTTGAGAGCTTTTCATATAAATCCCATGAACTTCTTCGTTCTGTTAAACTCTTTCACCCACTTTCACTTTGATTATCCAAAGTAATGTCCAGGAGCATAACGTGTCATGTGCAAAGCAAGTGATCGAGAAAGCGGACAACACCCTCTATGTTCCAAAGAATAACTCCTCAGGGATCCCAAAATAGGGGACCCCCGAGGGGACATGTGAGGTGTCAGCCCCAAAATAGGCTGACACCTCACCTGTCCCCTCAGGGGTCCGCTATTTGGGATCCCTGTAGCAACACTCTGTTCCAAAAAATCACCCATTTGTTTTTTATTATTTCTGTTAATTTTTTTTTAAAATTCTTAGTTGCATTTCAAATCTAGATGGAATAGTACAATGGTGGGTGTATATTGAGGGAACGATAGATAGAAATGATTTTGTAAAACTCAGGATGGTTAAGAACAAATAACATGAAGTAGGGTCTAAGTTAGGAACAGTTCCGTGGAAAAAAGAAAAGAAAAGAAAAACACTCATAAACTTGTCTTACGTTTTAGTTCGTCACGTTATATGAATTGTTGTGTAACATTTAATCTTTAAAAACGTAAAATTAATTTCTCTTTGAATTTGAGACCTTTCACTGTCCAAAGTAGGGGTGGGCAAAAACCGAAAAAACCGGTTCAACCAAAAAAACCGTCCGAAAAAGCGGGCCGGTTAACCAAACCGGATTAAATGGATGAGAAGAAGACTCTAAACCGCCCGAACCGAATTAAACCGGTTTGGATCCGGTTTGAACCCCTGAACCGCCCGAAAAAAAACCGAACCGAATTTTCTAATTCGTTCTTTGTCGGATATTCATATTGCTCAAAATGGGAAGGACTTCGTCGTTCGGAATTCAGTCAAAATGGAAAGGACTTTTGGTTCGGACGAAGTCGGATGGAATAGCTTTCTTATTAGTGAGTCATCACTTGAACATTAAGCTATATAATTGCTCGGTAATTTGATTGTTATGTTTACATACATGTTTATATTGTATAGTTCCTTTTTCATTGGGCCTGCTAGCGTATATGCTCGCATTAAAATCGGTGAAACCTCATATAAGCTTTCAAATTCTACTAGAGGCATGTTAAGTTGTTTCCAAGAAATGAAAGATAACCTTTTGATTATAGTTAATTAATATTTGAATGTTACGTAACCATATGTACTTGTTGATATGGTTTGCGCTCATTTCACTGATTTCGGTTTTTTGTTAGCTGTGGTAATGGTGTTACTTCAAACAAGCTCCACATTTCATTGTTTGGGGGGAAAAGTTAAGTAGACAAAATGGACAAATAATGATACTTCATCAGAAATTAATAGGCAAAGATCTCAGGTGTGGGCAGATTTTTGTGAAATAGTATTAATTCGGTCCAAAACCGAAACCGATCCGAACCAATCCGAATTTCGGTTGGGCCGAATATTCGGATGAAGGGAAAAAATCTGGATCTGGATGAGAGTTTTGAGAATTCAAAAAATCGGATTGGATGCGGATTGAGCTTGAAACCGATCCGAACCGAATATGCCCAGACCTAGTCCAAAGTTGATACTGCTGCTCCTGATGATGACGACGACTGCCCAACTCTATCATTCTTCTCTCTGTTTTTGTATGAGGACTTTTAAATTTGATTTCTTAAGAGACAAGAGACCAAGAGACTTGCACTTTTTTTGCTGTATGGTGCAAGATATAAACGCGTGGGAGACATGTGCTAAAGTTTCTAATTTTATTTATTTAACTTGAAAATTAACTAGCTTATCTTCCCATAGTAGGATCTCTCTTTCCCCTCCCTTTTGACACCGAAC